TATTATATATATATATACATATATATATATATGAATATATATATATATATTAAAATATTTGTGTGTGTTGTTCAGCATATGTACATATGTATAGTACCCTGAACACTACAATTAAATACATACACGCCCAATTTCCGCGTGACATCACACCACTCACCTATCTATAGTACCGCTGGCACTTTGACTTTTCTTCAAGCCCGCCACCCACAGCTGCGCATTCCTGTTTTCCACAGTAACTTCATTGTGCACTACAGCCCATGCTTTGTTCTTTCGTTTTGCTTTTTTCCCACTCGATGTGACTGTCTCCGCATCTACCGCTTCGTTCTTGTCGGTTTTCCCATTCGATCTGAGATGAGTCGCCTCTACGGTGTCTTGGGATATCCCTGTATGCTCCTTATCAGTCGCTATATGTGCATTTGGCGCCGCACTCATCAGCCGACACCCCACTCTACTACCTATTCCATGCCTAGCGTGGGACTGTATTTGATTGACTGTATGTAAAGCATTATATCTGAGTGTTGGTATATATGGTGTACTACATATCCTGTATGCACGCGCTATGGCCCTTCCTTTACTAAGCATATGCGTGTGGCTAGAATTGAGTATTTTTGTGTATCTGGTGTTCAATAGCACACGACCACACATGACGACATGTATAATCATGGTGGTTTGTGTGTGGATGTGCATGTGATAGTAATTCTATGAATAATATATTTATGAGTGTGTATGCATAAACATATCTCTATGTCTATGTCAGTACTATCTAATATTTAGTGGATGCGCACTTATACATTCACATGTATGTCTGTGTATATCTATATGTATATGGCATATTGCATATGATGAGATCAAAATATATATATAGTGTATATATGTATGCATATATATATATATATATATATACCTGTGTCCTATCAAGAGACCTACGAACACTTATAAAGTTAAAAAAAGTCGAAAAATGTGTCAGAAATCGTGATAAAATAAAAGCCCGCCAGAATTTGTTGGATTATTCCGGGATCCCGGTATTACTCATTTTCACGTGCGCCTGAGTGTTAGGTACAGCGCTATGGAGACACCACTGATGGTAAGTGGTTGATTGTTGTTACTTGTTTCTCGATACATAATATCTTCTACCTCATCATATACTGATTTCAACATATTCTGTAAGATATTTATACTGTGTTAATATACAAGTGACCTAAAGAACAATCATATATTTATATAAATATAATATATATACATATATATATATTTATTTATATTTATTTATTAAATATAAATATTGTTGTATATATATATATATATATAGATATATATATACTATATATATTATATGAATATTGGATATATATCTATAATTATTGTACATATATATCACATATAACACATCATACTCATATACATTAAAATCTTATACACACATTTACTATACATACACAATCATGTTGGATCTTTCAAATAAGTCCGTGGATGACATCCCCGCTGTTTTGGCCACACTCGATCGATTCAATCCCGATATATTGCCTGTGTTGCACAAGTATATCCAAACCAAGGAGTACAACTTAGAAGCTAATATTGCAGCACTAAAGATATATCAATTCAACCCAGAGACATATGACAGAAATATGACGCTCACAATTCTACTCAAGTCCATCATGAATCTGCCAGGATCTGATTTCCACCTCTGCCAATGTTTGATGAGTGAAGCGCAACTTCAGGTACGAGACAACCCATCGTGTATGTACGTATTGAATTAAATGGGTATATATATATATATATATATATGTGTGTGTGTGTGTGTGTATGTATGTATATGTACATGTATATATATATATATATATGTGTGTGTGTGTGTGTGTGTGT